TTTTCTTTTGTCGCCGTTGAATGTCGGAATGCCGATCTGCTTCAGCTGACGCCATGGTTCCGGTTGGTGAGGTGCCGTCAGTGCACTCTGCGGTTGTGGCATGGTGGTGGACTCTGCAGCAGGTAAGGCTAGACCATGCTGAGTTGTCATGCTTGGTGTCTGTGCGACCATTTGTGGGACGTTGCTATAGGTTGCATAGCTAGGCTGCGTGATGTTGTTGCCTGTCCACATAGGTTGCTGTGTTCCATACTGGCTGGGACTACTGAATTGCATACTTGGCATGGCACTGTAGCTGTTAGCACCATAACTACTACTGCTGTATATGTAGCTTGCACTAGCAGATGCAGGATTCGCACTAGGGGTAGGGTAGATCCTTGGCATAGAAAATGCACTTGCACTGGTCAAGTGCTGCCGAGTGGCAGGCTGTGAATGCGTCGACCTCACTTTCGATGCCTGCGATGCGTGGGCTGCGATGCCCTGACTTGCCTGATGCTGCCTGCCCGCGGCAGGCCGACTTGCACTGCTAGATTGTGCACTATACGAAGTGCTCGCGGTCGCACGTGTTGTGACTTCTGCTGCACCGCGTGGTTGGCGCGGAGCTTGCGTCTTCGTAGCGGATGTTGCACTTGAGGCGGTCGGCGCCACCACGAGTCCTGCAACTGACGAGGTTTGCGGTACGACACACGAACTCGTGGCGGGTGGCGGAGCTGCCACTGCTGTCTGCGTGACCTGCGGGACTTCTCTCTGAGACTGCTGTTCGTGCTCTGAGGAGATTTGGATTTCTTTCGTTTGATCTCCCCCATCCGCGCTCAGGCCGGTTGGCGTTCGCCTTTCATCACTAGCTTGCGGCCATCCCTGAACTGGTGCGTGGTGCTCCTCGTGAATGGCGGCAGCTACGTTCACGGCGTCTCGGGGTCCCTGAATGGATAAATCACTCAGGCTCTGCGAAAGCTGACGCGAGTTCAGCGATCGTCTCTGTAACGGTAAATACGGGCTAGCCCCACGTGTGCGTGCGTCGTATCTACTATCTTGAAACTGAATTGACCTTTCGTCATGCGAACTATCGTGAGGTGCTGCATACAGCCTCCTAGATCTAGGGACAGGGTCTTCTACTGCGCCTCTGCCATACTCAACAATCATGGCCGATGCCTCTGCATATTCTTCTTGCAACTTCTCAAGTTCTCTCAACATCTTCTCTGCCTGACTATTGTTATCCTCCGTGGTGTAAACACTAACGAGCTCGGCAATTACGGATGCAGCTCGTTCGTAACACTCAGTCAACACGGGTGAGCTTGCTACCTGATCAAATGACAACTCACCGGAACTGACCCGACGGAGATCGACGATCAGGGTCCTTCTCGCGTTGGTGAAGTCCGACTTCACTTGCACTTTCAGCGCTCTGAGTTTGCCTGAGTCCAGGGCGACCGCCTCTGGTTCACTATCCGAAAGTGACGTACCAGACGCTTGCGATGCCACCTCCTGCTCCGCATCCTCCATGCCTGCAGTGCTCCGATTTTCGGTATCGGACGTGCTCATGACTACAGTTCTCTCTGTAATCAACTTCTACGAAACGCGATCAACCATCCTCTGCTACCATTAATGTTCCGCAGGACTACACCACGCTAGTCCATAAACATTGAAACTGTGATGGATCGTAACTACACACTGGGTTCTTCGTTATAACCAAAAACGCAAACGTGCTATTAGTGAGTAAAAGCAAAGTGTAATCGACAGACGCTCTTCGTCTCACTTGGACTCTAACTCTCTAAACGTATTCTGACTTCTGGCTTGTGTAACTGAGTCCAAGCGACCAATATTATGCTATAGATGAATATCGCAGCACAACTGCAGCGTAGCTAAGGAAAGGTGAATTGCCTAGAGGCAAATGCATAGCTTGTCGCGATAGAACTGCGACCACATAGGTGCAAACTGACAATACTGAAACACCGGCGATGCCACAAAGTGTCTGGCGTGCCCACTACTAGTCTATTGACATGATCTATGGAAAGGCGCCTACACGTCTACCTCAAATGTCTAAGTACCGTGAAAATGGATGAATACAAACCAGCAAAGCGCCATAATGCTGTAGGGCATGCACATAGAATCGGTATGGCTCGTCTAGCCTGCAGTTACCTAAAGTACCATACATGCACAGAACAATGCATCCAATAGTCCGTGTCCAGACACACTATCTAATGTATAGTCAAGGAGAGCCTCGTGAACACTAGTGACGAAGCATGATTTTTTCG